GCTCATTATGCAATGCACGCATTGACAATTATTCTGTGGAAAAGACATTGCGCCAGCTCAGCCAATTCAGTTAACTCAGGTAACTCATTTCAATTTGCATAAGAGTCAGGCGACATTTACGCGAATTGCGAATGCTTGCAACGCACATCAAAAGACAACAATTATCAATACACTCAGAAAAAGAGGATGTACTTTATGCTAAGTAGTAAGAGTAAATTGCATAACTTTCGATTCTTAAAATTAACAGTAACATTTTACTATAGAATATTCTTAATTCCACTCATAGCGATTTTTTCTTTAAAAATGGTTTGTCAATATTATTTGACTATTAAGACAAAATACCTATAAAATTGCTTAAATAAATCACTGAATTTAATTCTGGTAAAGAATTTGCACGCTAAAAACAAACCTAAACACTCCTCAACAGACGTACAAATATTCTTAGAATGTGTCTTTTATTAGTTTTTTATACATAGATATTCTCAGATTAAAATGATATATATTATATAATTCAATTAAAATTCTCAGATTAAAAAAAATATTAACCTTAATTTTAAAAATAATAAGATTTTGCATTATTTAAAAGTCTTAAATATTCTGGATTTAAATACAAGATATTCTTGATTCTAAAATTGGCTATAAGTTTACAAAATTAAGAGAAAATAAATATTGAGCTAAGAACAATACTTTTTCCAGTATACAAGTTTTAAACGGAAGGTAAACATTTTTTTTTTAATGTTTACACTTAAGCTTGTGAGGCTCAAAGCACAAGTTGCCTTAAAAATTGTTAGCTTTAAAAAAATCATAATAAGTTTCTTAAAGTCTTACATTTCAATATTAAGTTAAAAAAGTGATGATTTTGACATATTTTGACTTAGTTTTTTCCACGTGTGTACTTAGCTCAAATGCAAATTGCTTGATTTTCTCTGAGTGTACCGCACATAAGTAATAACAACAATTCGCATTGTGGTTAGCCATTGCAAGTGGTGCGCGCAGCCACACCCCAAAATGCCAGAGCCAAGCCAAAGCTGATTACATTGTGTAATGAGTTTGATTGATTTTCAACTATTATTAGAAAACCGTGGCCAAATGGCTAAAGGGCCAACAAAGTCGAGTCTCTAGTCGGAGTTCGAGTCTGAGTCCGAGTCCGAGTTGCACCGACTGTTGGCCAATTGATGAATTCTGATGGAAAAGTTAGCTGCTTGAAATATTTATGTCATGTCAGTTTTTCTTCAGCTTTTCTTGCTTTTCTATTTCTGCTTTTTATTTCGACTTCTTTTGCTTTTCGCTCGCTGCGAAAGCGGCAAATGCGCTTGCATTTTTAATTGTTGCGCCGCAGTATTTATTTTATTATGTCCATAAATATAATGAGGCATTCGGAGAGTGTCGACTGTGGTCGACCACTCGAAATGCACATTTCTAAAACAACGTTGTCCAGCGGTTGGAAAACGCAAGAAGGCCAAAAAGCGACGACAACGACAACGTACAAAATCGCAGCAGACACATTTCCATCAAATCAATCAAAAATGGTAAATACAAGTTTTTTTTTCTATTCGCTGTTGTTGCTGTTGTTGTTGTTGTTGTTGTGGCAGACGTCAAAGTCTTGCGTATATAGCTTATATAGAGCTTAAGTAGGTCCAACAAAACTATCTGCCGCGGCCCGATGTGCGTCTGTCTGTCAAATGATGATGCTGCTGTTGCTGCCGCTGCTGCACCATTGGAATGCACTTTCCGAGTGAAATGCCAGCTTGACATTGTTGCAGCTAGTTGGTGTTGCTGTTGTTGTTGTTGCTGTTGCTGTTATTGTTGCCTTGCCATAGTTGACAATCATTTAGAATCACTTCTTGCAAAATGAAAGCATCTTTTGAAAGTTGCTGCTAGCGTTTGATGCCTTCACATAGATGCTGCTGTTGCTGTTGTTGTAATTAAAACGAAATGCCATAAGACAAATGGAAAATGTAACTGGCAAGTGTAGCAGCAACAACAGCAACTAGCATATGGCAGACAATGCGACGCAGAGCAGACTCTCACCTAGTGACACTCATTTATGCCTGCTGTCAGAGCTACAGCACACCTACTTAGTATAGACACACACTAGCACACACACACACATGTGTGTATCTGTGTGTTGGTACTTTTGCTAATTAAAAGTCATATGACGGCTGTTTGTGGCGCCCCAACGTTAATAAGCAACGCATATGGCTGCCAAAAACATTATCAGCCGCCATATGCTTCAGGGCAATTGCGCAAATTATTTGAGCATATATACACAAAGCAGCACACGAAAAGATGCAAATACAAACCTACACACACGCACTCGCGCACACTTTGCTCATTTCAGTGTTGATAAGCGCAAGTGAATAGGTTATCAGGTTATCAAAGCCAACAAGCGCTTACTATACTCAAATAGCACCCACTAACAGCTAGACTTTACACACAAACAACTGTAGATACTTTTGTATCTGTATCTATTTATAAATTACGGTTGCTAGTTACACTCACCTCGCCAGCGCTTGTCATGTACATCATTTTCTCATACTCCATTTTTTGCATCAACATTTTTCAGCGCTAATCAGAACTGTGAGAAATAGTATGCTTGTTTATTGTATCTGTTGAAATGTATCTCGGTGTTTGTATCTGCGATGTGTGCGTGCAAAATTCAACATTTGCTGCGAAAGTCTAACACTGTCTCGCTCTGTCACTCACCGCTGCACACGCTCTCTTTGTCTATCTTTCACTTGTGTGTTTTGATTTTTTTATTTTCAAATTTTAACTCGTTTTTTTTTTTATTATTTGTTGTTGCCAAGAGTTGTACTCGAAATGTGTATTTAGATAGTTATTTTGTTTGTTGGTATTTTTTGTTCTGTTGTAGTTATTTTGTATTTATTTTTGCTAGCTGCATATTTTATAATTATTATATTATTTTTATGCGTTGGTTTTGCCTTGAGGCGAGTTTATTGTGTTTCACAGCATTTTATTGTTAAAATTTCCACTTGCAAACTTGTTGCTCTCTTTCACACACAGGCGCACACATTCTTTTGCTCGTTCTCTCTTGCTCACACGCTCTCTCTCTCTCTCTGTCTCTCTCTTTCTCTCTATCACACTCTCTTTCTCTTGCGGTTTTTGGTTTCGTCCGCTGTGAACCGTTCACAAAGTCTTCACGCTCATTTCTGTGCGCTGCGTTCACGCCGATCGCGCTGCTTACCTCATGCGCCGTGAGCTTTTGAGCCACTAACCGGTTTGAAAGCTCTCGGTTGTAGCTTTGCCTTTGTGTGTTTTCAAGCTACACGCAAAAGCTTTTCAAATCGATCAGCCATCTCAGGCATGCAATTGATTGTAGCGTTTCAAATAATAACAACAGCAATGCCAAAGCTTAAAGCCGGCACCCGCCCATACACTCAGAGAAAAACGCCATGCTAAATGATAGCCTGATCTGGATCGAAGTACTGTCAGCTTCGTTATTGCATGTACCAAAATTAAGTATGACTCTTACTCGCTTTAAAATAGAAAAGTGTGGTTGTACAGGGTACAATATTTTTTTAATACTTAAAATATGTATGAGTCAATGCATTCTCGGATAGGATATAAGGTTTAAATAAGATTTCTTTCTCAAGTGATAAGTTTTAGACTTAGGCGCGTTTAGCATTTTCCTTTATTTTAAACTTAATATAGATGTTAAAAAGGAAAAATATTTAAAAATAATTAATTAAGTCAAATAATATTTATAAGAAAGCCTAAAGGGTATTCAATTGCTAGGATTGAGTACTGTTGTCCCTGAAAGTTCCCGAATATACATTCTTGTTTATAGGTTCAACTTTGTTAAACTTTTTTGGATTTAGTATGATTTAGCTTTAGGAATAAGATGTTCAGTTTAAAAATTGAGCTTGGCTGGATTTTAAAGTTTATGCTTTGACTTGAGTCTCGGGAATTGGTGGTTGGTTTCTCTAAGTGTAGACACATGTGATGTGCCAGTCATTCGGCAGTCACTTCGTTTTCCGTTTGCGGCGCCTCGCCGCGAGGCTGTCAGGCCGCAAGACTCTCTGTCAGCGACAACTTGCTTCTGTTGGAAGCTGCATGTGTGTATGGGTGTGTGTGTGCTGCTGCATTATCGTTTCCGCTTCCGCTGAATGAGACTCAAAGACAACGCCAGCGGGCTGGCGGAAACAGCAAAACACAATTTCGAAAATCTCTTGACATTTATATTTCATTGCACAATGACAATTTTGCAATTTTTGACAAGTCATAAAAAGCACATGACTACTGCCATGATGACAGTCCCAACTTTAGCTCCAGCTGCACCGACAACTCCAACTCCAACTCCAATTCGGATGCAGTTGGCAACTTTTGCTGCCCTCTGGCCCCACTGCCGGACAATGACTTCAATGCCGTCTGCAGGACATCTACATCAAAATGGAATTTCGCTGCCCGAATCTGATGTCATTAAATTTTTAAGCTGTTTTTCAGTTTTGTCGCGCAACGGCTCTGGCTAGATATTTGCCAAGCATACGCAACGCTCGCAGCACCAGCAGCAGCAGGACCAACAGCAGCCCAAGGACATCCAGCGAACGGTAGCTAGCGAAACTGAAATAAATACATTAATAATATTAGACTACTATCAACACTTCTTAAATTCAATACAGAACTTCTAAAAACTTTTGAATACCTAATTAATAAGAAGGAAGTCATACTTAATTCATAAACATAACAGTTACGATAAGCGTTGATTTATTCAATAAAGCCTCAAGTTAAGACCAAAAATCTAGAACAGAAACTTTAGCAAACCTTAAATGCCATCCACTATGAAAATCTGTTTCTTTTTGGAAAAGTAAATAAACTTAGATAATTGCATGCAGAATGTAGAAAATTTGCTAAGTGTGGAGAGGTACAAGATATTTTTTAGAAGAACATCTCAACAACTTGTATATTGGAATTTCTTGTCTTAAAGTGCGACAATCTGCAATTTCGGCAAAGTTCATTTTTGTAATTTTAAAGTACCTCATTTACCTGGATGGATGCTGCAAATGCTTTGCGCCCTTGTGCCTGATGACAAACTCCGTCCAGTAGACAGACTGCCGCAAGGGCAAGCCAGCTGGTCTCGCGTCGGCGTCTGAAAGAGAGGCGAATGAACAAGGAAATGTGCTTCGATTAAAATGGGAACTTGAATACCTGACAGCACGCCGATAGCAATCATTATGCAGGACATCGTATATGGCGCAATATAGAGCCTCCTCCTCAAGCTGGGCCAGCTCCAGTCGCCTGGCATAGCAATTGTGCTGGGCCTGGGCGGCATTGGCAGCGTGGTCGCAGAACACGGGCAGCATCAGGAGCAGCACGTCATGAAAAACAGCCTCGTGTTGGCTGAGGAGGCCGCCGTGTGTAATGAATAGCTGGAGCCGCCGATGGCCAAGTCCTGCTGAGGCAGCCAATCGCGTAAGCGGACATTGGCCGGCAGGTTGGGCAGCTGCTCGGTGGCATTGCCCGCCCACGTCCAAAGAACGTGCTGATGCGGCAGACGCGTAAACCCCGAGACAAACAGTTGGCACAGCGCCGCCGGCAGCCGTACCGAGCGCACCGAGAAGCCCATCGATAGGTAAATGATGCCGGCCGGCGCCGCGGCCATAAACTCAAGCCAGCTCGGCATCCAGCTGGCCGAGATTGACAGCGGAACAGCGGCAGTGCCAGCAGGCCACCTCAGCCACATTGGGCAAAAGGGGGCTGGGATAGCGAATACTGGGGTATCCATGTTGTAAAATGAAGGACACCTCCCTAGCCAACACATAGGGATGTGGCACATCCAGGCCCAGATGCTGGAGCAGCAGGCGATGCACACGCTACATGCAGACTTGAAAAACGAATACGGCTTAGACAAGCCCACACACTCGCACTTGCCCACACACATACTGTCCGACAGGCACTGGCCACTAAGCATCATTTAATCAGGCTGATGCATGATAAATCAGGAGCCAATCATGGTCAGGTGAGCCCCGGCAATGCTCGTTGGCACTTGACGTGTCAGCTACACAGTAAACAATTTCCCTTTAGACGCCCAAATTGGTCAAAAATTGAACACATAAGAAAACACTGCTCATTGGGTTTTAAGAAAAAATATATAAAACTAGGGCACGCACAATTCTTAACAAATAGTCACGTAATAATTTATTGGGTGATAATTTAAAATTTACGGTGTTAAACATTTTTTTATCATATCAGATTCGTAATAGAGTGACAATTGGAATCGAACCGGGGGGCACTCTGTTGCTGCTTGTTTGCCTAGCGGTCGTTCTTCTACTAAGCTATATACCTTAGCTAACTAAATATCTTATTTAAAACGAAGCGAGCGAGCTTCGAAATTAAGAGAGTTTGAACATGTAAATGGTCAATGCGGTAATTGCATCAAATTCCCATCCGCAGTTTAAATATATTTAACATGTGGTTTAATAGGTTTTATAAGGAAGCTTGCTGTACGAAGAAAAGAAAATTGCAAATATTTACAAATTTTAAATAGTTGAAAATGAAATAAAAGGTAACAATTTTTACTGTGTACGCACGCATCAGACATACAGAAAATTGGGCTTAAATCAAGGCAAGGATTAATGCGTTTGCTAGACGCTTTCATACCACAGGGGCCCAGTTGAATAAAGACGGCAAGAGAGAAAGAGCGGGTGTGTGTGAGTGTGATGGCAGAGAAGTGGAAAACCAATAGGCTGTCTTTATAGACACGGACGGACGGATACTCACCCAGTGCAGCAAATCGGCAATAACATGAGTTAAACAATTTGCCACACGCTGCAAGTAGTGCATGGGTAGCTTCCATGAGGCAAAGACGTGAGGCGTGACAGCACACGCATCCGGATTGCCGGCCAACGAGACGCTTCCGGTGTAGAAGGCCACCGTATTGATGTAGATGAATGCCGTTACATTTAAGCGATGCACAATGCCCAGCGCGCATTCCGGAAATGCCCCATCCACAATCGCCAACTGGTATTGGGTGTGTCCTGCTGCTGCATGCCGCAGTAGAAGCTGTGTGGCAGGATCGCTGAGCAAACTGTTGCACGCCTGTCCGGGCATTGAGTAATAAACGTCAGCCGCAAGCTTATCCTTCTGATGGCTGTGCGTGTGTGCATCTGAGTGTGTGTGTGTGTCTGAGTGTGTATGTGTTTGTTAACTCCACTTTGATGTGGCGCTCGGCAGTTACCTCAATTGGATATTGCATCGCATCGCCCATTGAGAGAGGGGCGTGCCCAGCATAGCGTGCGCCCACCAAATCCCAATCCGTATAGTTTCGTATATATTGAACGAGTCGGCACGGTGTCAATTCAACCAGCCCATCCACATGGAAATCCGCTTGAAAGCCATTCACAAACGTAATCCGATGGCCACTGCAGGGATTAGCAATAGCACTACACTCTATGTACACTGCACTACAAAACAGATCAAGCCCCGTCACCCCACCTAAAATTCCATCCGGCTGTAAAAGGGACACTCTCGCCGCTTGATAAGCGCTCGTCCCAATGCCCCGAAGGGTATTTTGTGCGATTTCGTGCCGTCCATGGTAATCATCAGAATGTTTGAGCCGCTGCCCGAGCAAATCGTCAATGGCAGCATCCACAGACAGGTCCATGACAGCCAGGACATTTCCCAGGACATGGTCGATGCTCACGCAACAGCTGCCCAATGCCCAATGAGCCGGCATCGAGTGTTATTTTTCAAATAAATAAAAATGTTAATTTTAAATTTTCTCGTTGCAAGTTACCCCACCCCCCGTACATCTCCCCCTTGCGTGACTGAAAATTACAGTTATTCGTTGTACGTGTTTAATTATTTTTAAATCACACGCAAAGCGGCTGCCAGCCTGGACACAGCTCTGGATTATTTTGGTAGCCCAGTCACGTGCCAATTGCCAGCTATTTTAACGGACTCTGCGCTCGACGCATCCCCAACTTGGAGGCTCCTAAAACTGCCCACTTAAAGCGCTATTTCCGTGGCGGCCCGCTTTATTAAACAGTCTCCACCCCGCTCTCAGCAAGCCCCCTTATACCGCTGCGACTAAATTATAAATAATAGCTAAAATTAATGTAGCCCTTAAGAGTAACTGCGACCAGTTGTTAAATCACATTAAACCTCTTTCAACATAATTATAATAGACCCTTAAATACTTCAACTTTTATACCTCTACTATACAACCTATATATACTATTTATGAGCGAAAGTTTAAATATAAATATATGTATATAGTTACCCCACTTTCTTATACCTCCTTACAAGTAATTGGTTTATAAATAACAAAAACTTAGCGTTAGGTTGTCTTAAATCGGGCTCAAGCATAAACATATTATTAGTACGAACACAATTTTTAGGTTACTTGTCAGTTCTTTTACACCTTACACGCAGAAAAAAATAATTTTTTTTGGTTGCGTGTCATTTAACTGAACATAACTGAAAGTACAAGAGTATGAGGGGAGCATGAGAATCGTAAAGAAAGGCGATAATAAAGAACGATTAAAAATCAGTGAAACATTAGTGACAGAAAAGAGGTGAACGCAAGTGGAATAGCGGGAAAATAAGGGAAGATATTCAATGATATAGAAATGATATAGAAAGAGAGAAAAGGAAAATAATATAGAGAAGAAGAGAAGGGGACTTAAGTAAGGATGGTTAGTAAAAGAGAAATATAGAAAAAGGCAAAAACATGTGGTGAATGAAAGAGAGATAAAGTAGAGTGGCGATAAAGTGAGTTATAGAGGGAGAAAGTGTGAGAAAGAGGCAGTTTAGTGATATTAAGTGGTAAGGCAAAGAATTAGAGTGACAGAAAGAATGAATTTGAAAAGCGAGAGTGTCAGGTAGAAAAACTTACAGAGTGAACAGAAAAAGCATCAATTTGATGCATACATGCGACACACAGCTCAATGCCCTGAACAAGAAGAAATGCATAAATTACAAATATTTTAAAATAAGTCGAAGATGTCCTCTGCTATATATGATTTATATCTTGAGCCAAAAAGAATTAGCATTTGATTTTAATAAATGGAATAAAATCTCTTTGGATTTTCCTTCACCAGAAACCAGACAAGAAATTTTATTCTGTTCCAGTCCTATGCCATTTGAAAGATGTTCAAACAATTAAAAGAAATAATAAGTATAACTACTCACAAAACTAAACTTGTTCACAATGTCGTCTTTTCTTTGAAACATATACACATATATATAAGGTACTCAATGAATAATAAATAAAGCATATAATAATTTTTTGAATGCGCCGCATTCATTTATGCTGTTTGTATAACTGAATATAAACATAGAAACTGGCCTTAAGAGCAGACAATAAGTAAAAGGTCGCAGGACTCACACACACACACAACCATACGCACACACACACACAAGCACGCGCGCTTATTGTTGATTTAAGCCACAATTTATATTGAAGTGAAAGGCAAAAAGACGTGCGTTGGCTTTAACGTTGTCGCTGCATTTGACTTTATGCAAATTATGAATTCCGGCCAGCGTATCCAATGCGTGTGTCCTGTCCGATAGTATCCTTTCCTGTCCCGTTCTGTTCTGTCTTTTCCGGTGCTGGGAACAACAAAAGTTGATTAATTTGTTGCAATACTTTGTTTTTGCTATTTGTGTTTTCAGGCAGTTGTCGCTATCAAAACTCTTTGAAAAGTTATTTTTTGTATTATTTTTGTTGTTGCTGCTGTTGCTGGCATTTATTAATTAAAACGATGACAAAAAGGTCGTCAGGCAAATTAAATATTATTTTGTTTATTTGCACAACACAAAAGTCCAGAATATGTAAATTTCCCCGCCTACTTTGGGTATAAATGCAGCAAAGGGAAATTGGAAAAACTCCATGAAATCCCTTAGTCAAATAAAATGCGTCCCTTGAAGATGTCTCTCAATTATCTCTAACATCGCCATTGGCTAGAGATTTAAAAATTAATTTATTGCAAATATTGTTATTATTTTTATTTTTAATATTCATATTGAGAACTTTTGCGATATCCATGTACGTATGTATAAATTTGCCACTTTTTCCAAAGATTTCAGTAGAGATAAAAATACTTCCAATACATATATGCAATAAATTACAATCCTGATCAACGCACAGCCCAAACCGTAACAACTAGGTAGCTGCAATTTTCACTGTAGTTACCTTATGTGATGAAGGTGCACGTTAATACGGGCTTTCAGGAAATTCTACACGCTTGTGCGGAAAAATCGCGAAAACCTTTGAATGAAACTTTTATGTTTACCATCCGATCGGTGCTAAACTCATTTTCAAAGATCTTTGTTCAAATTCATTTCCAATGTCCTATATGAAAAATTATTTGAGACGCGTGTCTCACTTTTCGTAGAATCCAAACTTTTTCGGTAGCAATGCGATTCAAAGATTTTTTGCGTGAAGTTTTAAGTTCTGTCCGTATGCTTCAAACCACCAACCATAGAACATATGTTCTAAGATTCAAATGCCACCTGCAACAGTGGTGAATTGGCTGATACCGTTTGTATGAAAATTTGGACGCTCAGTTTCGAAATAATTTTCAAAGATTTTTGAGAAAATTTATTTTATACGTGCCGTGGCAATTCCGGGTTATGCGCTCGATTTATAAATTAAAACTAAAACCTTATTCCTTATATTAAATAGATTATATCTTAGTATGATTAACAAAGATTATATCATTAAAATTATTTTTATCATCATCATTTTCAATATCATTATTATAACTATCACTTTCACTATCACTATCACTATCATTATGACTATCACTATTATTATTATTATCATTATCATTATCTATATTATATTGTTTTACATAATATTATTAATATTAAAATGATAAAAACTACAAACTATCCAATTGAAAATAAATTCAGATACAAATACAAAGATTAAAATAAAGCTATTATACACAAAAACAAGTTTAGCATATGCCGTACTCTGTACGTGAAAGGACAACGTGTGCCATTGAAGGATTACGAATATGCAGTATGTGTCCTCAATGGAATCATAAGAGTTTGAAGCACTGGAGCGTGGGTGCAACGAGCTTGGCAAGCGTAGAGCTCTGATGACGTCAATGAGGAGCACTTGACATAAAACGTAATAATGTAGAGCTCATTTGTCCCCAAGCTCAAGTGCAAGCCATCGAAAAAGGCTTACAGCAAAGATATATATTTAAAGAGTGAGTGTGTGCGTGTGTGTCTGTTGCAGGTGGATGACTCTTGGAATGGATGGTTATTGCCAGCGATAAACATGATGAGCATTTTGTATATACATAATGTTGCAAAGAATCAATTGAATTATGGCACACAACGAGTGGGCCAGCGCCAGCTGAGAAGCGGAACAGAATGAGGGGCGGGCGCGGGTAGACGTTGCCAAGACAATTGAGCAGCAAATTGTGTAGCTCGACAAATGCCCAAAACGGAATGGCAAATATGGATGACTGCCCCGATTGCCAAGCGAGACGAGAGCTGGCCCAAAACTCCTTGCCAATGCAAGTGACAAAAGCTTATTGAACGATATTTTTATATACCCTTCCGAAGGATATTATAAATTTGTTGGGAAGCGCATAATACTTAGAAGGAGGTATTCAATAATATATCCTGTTCTTATAATAAGATAGCTAATAATTATGATGAAATAATATTTACAAAGCCTTCTTAAGGCTAGCAGTCGAAAACGAACTACTGTATGGATGCCATGGGAATAATCGCTAAAGAGTTGAGTTCTTATCCGAAAAAGTTTATGTTGTTGTTTATTAACAATCTCGAATTACTGTAACTGTAATTGTAACTGTTATAAAATTGAATTTATGAAAAGTAACCTAACCGGAGTTATTCACAAATTACTTAATGCATGCAAATAAATTTGTTCAATATTAGATATATCATACATACATCACATAAATATATTGGGAGCAATCGTTCAAATATCGTTTTGAAATACATTTTTACTTTCCAGACTTCTTCACCAAAATATATTATTAATTTTAATTATTAATTAAGTTAAAAATAGTAATATTATTAGTAAAAATAGTAATAAAAATAATAATAATAATAATAATAATAATAATAATAATAATAATAATAATAATAATAATAATAATAATAATAATAATAATAATAATAATAATAATAATAATAATAATAATAATAATAATAATAATAATAATAATAATAATAATAATGATAGTAATAATGTGCAAGAGTATTCTAACTTTGACTACCCAACTCTTCCTATAATTTTGTTCAGCTCGTCGTTGCATTGGCTTTATCATTGCACAACGTGCTCTTCCCTCTGTTTCTTTTTGCCTCCTGCTGCCTGGTCTATTTGCATTGCTACACGGCAACGCGCTTCATTGGCTCTGCCCAAAAGGAAAAAAATTCTATGCACAATGCGAGCATCTTAAATCCTTTGTGCACTTACTCAATTGTCCTTGCGCAATATTTGTTTGATGCGAGGCTATCAAATGCCTGATGCGATTATCAAAATAAGTACATGCCTGATTGCACCTCTTTGCAGGGTCCTTTGCTGACTTAAAGTCGAGGCGCTTGGCGCTGATTAACGACTGTAGCAGCAGCAACAGCAGCAGCAGGATGTGAATATCCTTTGGCCACAGTCAATTAAAGCAGCGCCCGCTGGCAAATAAAATGAAATCTAAATAAATAGCCAAAGTAGCTGCGTCAAATGAAACTAATACAAAAGAGTGTGTGGCACGCACGCAAGGGAATTGTGGAAACTTCAGCTGTTGTTGGGGCTGCTCCCGCTGCAACTGCAGCTGCCGCTGGAGCACTCCATGTCATTGCACGCGTTATCCTTCAAGTGAACCAGCAAGGAGCCAAGCAGCAGCAGCTGCATGCGCATAAGAAAATTAAATAGAACAAGAGAGAATGGCTATTGACGGCACGCCGATATGTAAATACGCTTCAATATGCTTGTGGCTAAAAAATACTTATAACTAATTAGGTATAAGATATTCTGAATAGTAGAAAAGTTTTTCAAAAACTCAGACTCCTTCTATACTACTGGAAGAATTCCTCCTGGAACTGGCTTAATAGTTGGATTTCGATGGACAGCATTTGTAAATGTCAAGTTTGATCAAGATTTCTTGAGCAAAAGTTTATAATTTCAAGCGATTATTCCCATTGCAGCTATAACGTATAGGGATCAGATCCTGCTGATTCCAACAAAAAAAACGAACCTTCGCAGAGCTTTATGACGATAGGTTTAAAACAGACTGTTCGCATCATAACAGACAAAAATGGCTATATCGTTTTGACTGCTCAGAATATATAATTGATATGGGCTCGGAGATGTTTTATTCTATGATTCACATATTTCGTCTGAAAATGAGAATACCCTCTGCAAGTGTATACAAAAAATGGTGCGCAGACAAGTTTTGCTGGTGTGTGTGTGTGTGTGCGCGTGTGGCATTGTTGCATCGAAGGTCCTTGCAAAGGCAAAGGGACATTGCTCTGCGCATTGAACTATGGCTAAGCAGTTGCCCACGCGAAGGACTCCGGCTGCCTTGGCGCCTTTCCATTCGAGGCGCTTGTCCGTTATGGCAAATGACAAATGCGCCGCCGTTGTTGCACTTATAATTAGAATATGCAAATGTTGTCAGTGGCATGCAGCTAGTGGCTGCCACATATTTATATCGCATATATTTATGCAGCCGCGCGACTCCATTTCGTCTCCGCAACGTGCGCTTATTTTATTGCCACAGTTCGCATAATTTGCATGTAAACGCGCCATTTTTCTTGAAACTGCTGCAACTGTTGTTGTTTTTGTTGTTCTTGTTGCCGCTGTTGCAGTGGCAGTTGTTGTTGCCCCGTTTTAATTATTTTGTTTGTTGCCAGCGCGCTTTTTATGCAAATGCTTTCACATCAATTTTCAAGTCTCATTACCAGAGTAAGTTGCCAGTTACCAGTTGCCGCCCCAAGATTGTAATTGAGTTTGCCAAACTATTTTGACGCTCAATTGATTGCGCATACGCAGCGTTGGCTGCCATAAATATTATGAGTTCCCTGTGCCCATTAAATGTGCGGGTTGCATCAAACTTTACATACATTATGTAACTCAGCAACAACATCTTAGAGCCTTTTAACTAAATACATGAATTTTATCGGATATGTCAGTCTATCAGAGAACACCCTTTACAACAAGTTCTAGTTCACTTATCATAGCAATTTAGCTCCGAAAATATAGATCAATATAGAATAATCTACGCCAAGCGCCTTGAGGTATAAATATAGAGTTCATTGTACGTACACAAAAGTAAAGAAAAAAATCAAATTATTTTGTGTTTAAATTAGCTCAGAAGTTTGTATTTTCTGAAATTTAGTACGAAATATTTATCACAAGCCTATAATTTCTAATTGATTGGCATATATACTTTAGATCATGTGTAATATATATGTGTAAAACTAATAGAGGAACATCAAACTTTAAACGCCTATTTTCCATACTGAAAAGGTTTTTTAACATTACCTTATATTGTTATATATAGCATTCCACCTTATCCATTAAAACAAAATACTTCTTCAAAGAACTATACAATCCCCTAACCCTCAGGCAGAAAATATCGAGCTAAAATAAAGTATTTTTTCTGTTACAATTACTACCTGACATTGGCAACCTATGCTTTATATGTGAAGGAAACATAAAATTTGATTATACAAGTTTATGAATGTGGAGAAGCAGATTCACTAACCAATCGCCACTTGCCACTCAAAAAACTTTATACTCCTTTTAGCAATTTACAAGGGGTGCAGGGTATTAAAATATGGCAATCTAGATTCATGAACCGCCTACCTAATTGTTTAAAACGAGAACAGAATCAGCGACAATTGTTCTGTATTTTCCAATACTGACTACTGTGGAGAACTAGCCGTGCACTGAATTAGCGACAATGTTTTTGAGTATCCCAATACTCAAAAGCCATGATACCCTTTTAACCAATTTTATGGCTTACAAACAAGTCACTTAATTGATTGAACCGTGGGCCGAATCAACGACAATTTTTAGGGTTTTACAATATTAAATAATTTAGCGAACTAGTCATATGAAGTAGTTACAGGGTAACTACCAGTCGAGTAGTGGTTTATATAACTGTTTTTTTATATTTTGTAAATAATAAAAACTTGACACTTCACACGCAGTTGAGTGGGCAAATACTGTCAGTGTGTGTGGGAATATAAATCAAATTACGAAGTGCACATGTAAATTAACTTTTTATATTAATTGCAATTTAATTAATTAACTAAAAAAACAAGCATGCTTTCAATGTGTTACTTTTTTCTGGCTATATTTGTATGGCTCAGCTGAAAGGCCAAAGTCGTTAAGGAAACGCAGCGGCAGGAGAGAAGGAAGCAAACAAACAAAAAAATATTAAGAAAAAGAAAGAGCCGGGCTCATCTTGAAAGCTGGGGATAAAGATGCGGCCGGATGGACGAGGCGGCCAACACCTTTGCTGAACGTGCACAGCCAGTGGTACGTGAACGTAAATTACAATTAATTACATTTTAATGACGCTTGTTTAATTCAGCGTTTACAATTACATACACAATTATGGCGGCAGCCAAAGCAGGCTAGCGAGCGAGCAGGACAACGCGAACTGCTGCCTCATTACGGGCAGCCAAGGACGCGCTGCACTTACAGCTGGGCAGCCAGCCCGCGGCGTAGATATTTTTATGCACTTGCCACCCCAAAATGGCTTTAACAAATTTCAGCTCGCTTTTATGCTTGGCCTCGACGCTATATTAATGGCCCAGGCAACTTTCGGTGCAATTAACTGGCTGCAACAACAGACCCAAACCTCATTTCAGACCCCCTTCACAGCTGCTCGCATAACAATCAGAGACAGAGACAAAAGCGTAAAGCGAACATTTATGCTGAAATATAAGCACATTAATTCGAAAAGCAGCAGCAGCTGGGGGCTAGGGCAGCTGGAAAATCAGACAACAGGCAAATTGAGGTGCGAATCCATAAACACACAAGTGCGAGAAGCTATAAAATTGAAATGCCCGCGTTGAGAAGTATGCTACGCCTGCCACGCGCCACAGCACCCAATGGGGCGTATGCGCAATGCTGCATTGCCCGCTGTATGAAACGCGGCAGCAGCAACAACAACAACAGCTGCCATTGGTAAAGTGCCGGGCAGCAATAAATATGCTTCAACTATTTGGCAGCCGGCGTATTTAAGAGTTCCGCAGCAACAACATCAAACAAATGTGCGCTCGCCGCATATGACTGACTGGTAGCTACCCTAGAAGCTGAATTGATTTGCTTGATAAATATATATTAGAATGCAATGGAAGTGACCGCAGCTCCAGACATTTTGAAAAATGCATTCCCAAAAGACCTCGAAACTTATTTTCCAATCGTTGCGAAATTCTCAGCACCAAAGATAGCATGAAAATGTGTAACTTTTGTGCTTTAAATTTAATAATTGACAAAAATTATATATTTAAAATAAACCGTATAATTTGAAAATTGAGCAATAAAAACGCAAACAAATCAGTTGAAGTATTTAAGAATTAGACGGACTGGCAGACGGATATAGCCTGCTCGACTCGACTATTAAAGCTGATCTGGAATATTTATACCACATACTTCAGCCAAGCTGCCCTACTGCCTGCCTTCTGCCTTCTGAACAACCCATTTCAGGCTTTTTTTAAGGCTACAGGGTATAACAACAACAGGCAAGCACACATTAAATTGCAATTTATGCCAATGAGTTCTTAATGTACAAGCGGCAGCAGCAACAACAATTGCTCAATGCCTTCTAATGGACCCTCTAACGGCGAGCGGCGGCGTCTGCCGCCAACTTGGCTGTAATTTATTTGCAAATTATTATTAAAACTTTCGCCTGGCTCAGGGTCCAGGCAGTGGGTGCTGCCTGTTCCGTTCCTAAATGATTCGCACTTAGTTTGCTGTCAGCCACAACAACAAAAACAACAAGAACAAAGCATACAAAACATGGCCGTAAAGTCGCGCCTATAAATCAAATTGCTGGTTTTTTGGGGTCAGCTCTTGGCGCTTACATCCCAAAAAGTGACCTGCGTTTTGGCCCCGTCTCGCGCAATATGTGTGCGAATATATTTACTTTTAATTTCTTGATACTAAAGTTACTCTATACCCAAAGATAGCTACCTTGGCCTCTCCTTTCAGCTCAGTAGCAAGTTTGAAGAATTATATCTCAAAACAAAAATCAAATATATCCAAAAAGGAAATCTTAAAAACTCATATGTATGAGCAGATGCAAACCATTTTGAAAAAGAATGTGAGTGAGCTTTATAATTTTTTAACAAATGTGTTCGACATTCATTGTAAATTGAAGCTCGAATCGGTTCGGTTCAATCCCAATTTGCAACCTCTAGCTATAAATATATATATATGCATTTCAGGGAAAATTACTTGGTATATATATATATATGTGTGTGTTTATGTATGTATGTATGGTTGTATGTGGTGTCAATCGCTTACCAAGTTACTCGCCTTTCAAATCAAAATAAAAAAAACAACATTTTCATTTATTGCCCTTCTATACGATTCTCAAAACTCAAGTACGAGCCACAGTTATATTGTTTTTTATTTATGTAAATATGTATATGTCACTTATATAGTTATATTTTAATATGCCAAGAGTTTACCAAGTTACTCCCACTGCGCTGCTATTTTGGGCTTCTGAGAAATATTATACCAGCTTTTCAATCAAATATGTTCCCTTAAACTCTTCAATTTTCTTTTCCTACTCTAACTCAAATCCAGCTACTCGGATGCAATAACAAATTAACTGAAAACAACTTAACCGTATTCAATATTCTAATGCGTAACCACTTGATCCTCAGTCTACCTGGCCCAGACTCCGGAAGAGTCGGTTTATGTTAACTACTACACAATTAGTTGCCAATTATTCAGCTATGCCACGATTTATGCGCTCTATACGATATATGCGATACGATACGACACGATATATATAATGCAATGGATGCTGATACATGCGAATAGATGGCATCGTGCTTATTCAATTAAATGCAATGCGCCAACTCAATTTCGAAATCGCATTTATCAAGCCATTAGAGTCAAATAATCAGGCAGCAGCAGTGCACACACACAGACACGCACACACACTCGTACAACTAGGAGGCAGACACAATGCAAAGCAGGCTGCAAGGAAGCAGCTACTGCTGCTGCTGCAGAGCAGGACTCGTCCGCTCACATTAAAAGCAGCCGCCGTTAGCTGATAACGGAATTTGCCTACCATTATATAAGCAGCAGGCTGTGGCATTGGCAGTGGGAGTGGCAGTTGCATCAGCCGCCGAGGCATAGAGCCGTGGAGTGTGGTTGAAGTGTGGCACACCCAACCGATGAGTACACTTGTGGGACGGAGACAAGCAGCGGGCTAGGTGGCATAAGATGATGACAACGAGCTCAAGCAGCCAGCTCAACGAAAAACCAAACCAATTGTTTGGCGGGGCAAATGCACGGCAGCAGCTGCAATCGCATTAGAAATAGTTGAGAAATCAAAAAGATTATAGACGGCGGGTGAAAAACTCACCAAGGCAGGCAGGACACAAGCCAGGTCTTCGACAATGGCAGCCAACCTGAATGCAAAAAAATGTATATCTATAGAATTTACATTGTACTTGAAGATGAAATGCATTCGCCCAGCTGAAAATAGAAATGAATATAAAAGATCTTAAAGACATAATAAGTAAAGTACGAGCTACATAATAATATGCCATTTTCCAATTTTAGACAGGCATTCACCAATCAAATAAAAGCTTAACAATAAAAACCCATATCAGTTGCAATAAATGTTGTACCCTCGCTTTTCTTATTGCCAGTAAATTCCGATTTAATGGACTTTCTTAAAAATAATTTGTTAAATTCGAGTTCTTTTGTAAAACATTTAAATGCTGATCAATGTCCTTACATTTTGTAGTGATATGTTCAAAAATAATAAATGTATATCTATATAAACAGAGTTTTTTTTTTATAAAACTGTTGAAATTTCTAAAGCTTCCTTTTGGATCGACAGGAGGGATCTTTTTGTTTATTAGTCAATTTATAGTTACCCTAACCTAATAAAAATCATTAAAAGATTACGAAATGGAAGCAAATAAATGGGAAATGAGAGGGGATTAATAATAATAGCTCTGACAACTACAATGACTCTTTATATTAAAATGTTTGTCCTGAATGACTGACTTAAGCATCCGATGGGCTTCAGCGAGTTTGAAACTTGGCGCAAAATTTTAAACGAGCGGTTTTCAACCCATTTTCAATTGTGACTGGCAACGCCGTGGAATAGCCGATAATAAATACACGTATACATTATATTATGAAAAATTATCAAAAATTATTATGTGTTGCTGACGTGGATATATTGATAAAGCTTAATGCGGAAACTTAAGAATTATGTACTCGCCTACTTTATTTTATATATGAAATACAACAAGAAACTATAAATTCAAATTATTCATTTAGCTTCCTTTAGTAAAATATAATGGCTTTTGAGGTTATTACCTACAATTACTTGTTAGGTAATTATATATCTTTAAAAATATGTGCATTAGTTATTATATTTTTTTTTATAAAATCTAATTCATTTCATCTATAATTGCAATATCAGTTTTGCCCGTTGCACCTGCTGTTGTACAGTGCTCATAATTGAACTATGATGTCATTATAAAATTCCATTCAAATCAGATTACAAACGTTTTACCACAAAATTGCATTCGCTGCGAGGCGCCATCTGCATTCCCGTCCCCCCCGGCGACGATTCCATTCGTATGCCTATCGCCTATAGCGTCCCAGGCGCCATTATGATAAATGTGCAGAGCATCAAATGAGCCTGAATGCTATTGCTATGGTTTAAGGGGGCCCGAAAGCGACGAGCAGAGGCGACAAGGACGCCAGCAGGACTCCACACCAAACCATTCAATTGGCTGTTGGCGGCGCTTGGCGGATGAGGAGGAGACTGGCTTCATGGCACGCTCTATGCCGATAGCACAACGAATTAGCGCCGTAAATCGCATTTAAATCGTAAAATTCTCACAGCCAGCCAGTCACTTTGCCTTTGCATATAGAGTGGCAACAAGCCCAGCGCAAAGCCGGAGACAATGTCAGTCCTGTCGCAGTGGGTGGGGGTGGGTCTGATGCCTAGGACGCCAGGGCGCCATTGAGCCCCCTTTAGTGTGCGCAAAGATTTTGATCCTATCAACTAAATTGCATTTGACAGTTGGCGAAAAAACTTTTGCCTTGGCCGCCATAATTTTTGGTCGCAGCAAAGCTGAAAAACTGAAAATCTAAAATAAAAAAAAGCTGCAGGACAGGTCTATAGGATAATACTCTCAATTGACTTTCAAATTATATATGCTATGCCTCATTTGGCACTAGCAACGCAGCCAAGAAATCGCAAAAGCTTGATAATATTTTTTAATATAATATATTAATTTAACTAAATGTAATAAACATTTGAAAACTAAGGAGTTGGCAGCTTAGAACTTTATGCTCTGCATTGTTATCAGCAGCGATCGTAGCTGTTAGACGGTTACGTGCTTGTTACACGTTTAACAGAGCACCGCTAAGTGCCCCTTTAGCTCAGTGGTAGAGCGTTGGTCTCGTAAACCAAAGGCCGTGAGTTCAACCCTCACAGGGGGCATTGAAAACTGATGATTGTTTTAGTTGATTTTAATTGAATTTACATTTTTTTCCAATGGTTTTAGAGCTGCTTTAAGCTTTTTGTGGAGAATTTCGAACAATTCAGCGCCCACTGCGCCATCTGTCGGCCGCAATTTCCAATCGATTGCTGCCATGTTCGCACTTCATGCGGCGATAACGTGCAAGTTTTGCAATTTGCGGCGTTGGAAAGTTGGTCTTTATAGATGGATTTTGTGAGGGGTCGAGGGACGTGCGGTGCGGTGCGGTTGGTGGCCCGTATACCTCAAGATTTTTGTACTTTTTCAGGCAGTTCTTGTTGGGTTTGCTTTTTATTTTATTTTGTTCGACTTTGCCAAGATTTATGCGGCAAAGTCGCAGCGAACTGAAGTGTGCTTCCGCATGTTTCGATAATTTGCGTGATTTTTGCATTTTTAACCTCCCACCCCCCAAACAGTGCAGCCTTTTTTTATGTATATATATGTGCTGCATGCGTAAGTGGCAGACGTAGCTGCATCATTAAAACTTGCAGCCAGCCACTAGAAATCTGGGGCATGCCCCATGCCCGAGCTGGCCCGCGTCATATATACTATATATGTGGCGAGTATTTGAAAATTTTATAATGATTTTGTATTTATTTAAGCTGGCAATTAAAAGCGGCTTGCGCATAAAATATTTACTTGCAATTAGAGCAACTGCTTTCCAGCAGCTCAGCTCAAGTGCAGCTCGACTCCTGCTTCCAGGATGTGTGGTTGCTTGTGGTGGCTCGACTGGTGGGCGTCCTGACAGACACTAATTATGGATTTTACAATTTGCGACTTGCAGCTA